AAGGCTGGTCTTGTTACTTTGGCCAGCAGAAGTGATTCTGTCATAGCTCTGAACTCAAGTCTGCCATTACGGACCTCATCTGCTTCTGCCTGCTGCCTTTTTTTTTTTTTCTGTGAATAAGACTGTGTTTGTCTGTTGGAACCAGTGAGAAAAGTGGGAAAGAAACCATTTGTCCCAGCCAGGGCCCTAGGCTTGCTTTGTAGGTCTGACAAGATCTAAATGTATGGTCCTGGCTAGCCTGGAGCTCACTATGTAGACCAGGCTGACCTCAAATGCACAGAGATCTCCTTGTCTCTGCCTTCCAAGTGCTGGGATTGAAGATATATGCTACCATGCACAGGGTGAGGTCAGAGAGAAAGGGCAGTGGGGAGGCTGTTCCAGCTGTCCCATGAGAGATGGCAGGGTGGCTGCAATGCTGTGAGACTAGACATCATTCAGATCTGTTCAAAGTGAGGTGGTGGCACCTGCTGATGAATTGCAAGTAGGAAAGCAGAGGAATAAGATGGCCAAGGTTTCCACCAAGAGCATCTTGGTTGCCAGAGATGCCCACAAACTCTCCTGGCTGCAGGCCTAGCAGGCTGGGCTGTAGCTCTGGACAGAAACATGTCCGGGTTAAGTGGAAGGCCCTGGGCCAGCCCAGAACAGGAAGGTATATCCTGCTGTGGTGTACCATGGATCAGCTGCTTGGCGCAGCCACCATAGGGGAAGGAGGCCTATTTCAGGCCAGCAATACAGCTGCTGGATACAGGCCACTGATTGAAAAGGTGGACTAGCCAAGCCTCCTCAGCAGAAACCTAAGCCTGCTGTATGGGTCTTAAGCGACTATATGGCAGCCTCTGATGGCTAGAATGGCTCTTCACTTCCCTCTTATTGCCCTGGACCCAGTTGTACATTGGACTTTGAGCTTGGGCAAACTGTTCTGCAGAAAAGGCTTGTGAGCCTGGGAGATGGATGCTTCCCCACAGCCTGGCTTGCTGAGTGGACCAGGGAGAGAGAGTGAGTGAACCTGACTTCTCAGAAGATCAAATGGGTGTGCACACCTGGGGCCGGAAGTCTGGAAGAGGAAGTAGCTTGAAGGGCCTGTCCCATGTTCAGCTTTTTGCTCACTTCTTAATCCTTCCCACTTATCTTTTATGTATTTATTTCTTCCTTCAGTTTATTTGAGAAAAGTACACATGAAAGAAACAAATAACCACTGTGAAGAGAGGATAAGCCTCACTCTGGCCTGTGTCTCTCAGACCTACTGGCAATACTATGATGTGATGATTCCAGCCAGATATGCAGTGTGCACCCTTTAACTGACATTTATCTGGCACTTGGTATGTGGTAAATACCCCTACTATAAAAATTATTTGTGTGTAGATGTCCACGTGTGCATGTGTGTGTGTGTGTGTGTGTGTGTGTGTGTGTGTATGTGTGTAGGCATGTAGACAAGTGTCCACACTTTTTTGAGATAGGGCCTCTCACTGATCCTGAAGCTCACCAGTTTGGCTAGAATGGCTTCCATCAAGTCCCAGTGATCTGCTTCTTCCTCTTCAGCGGGAAGAAGTAGGAGTGAGCACTTTCTCCACATTCACCTTATTACAGACAGATATGCCCATACATATGACTTTAATGTAGGTGGATGGGATCCAAGCTCAGGTCCCCATGCTTGAGGGACCAGTGCCTTTCCAACTATCTCGACTGGTTGTTGGTTGGTTATCTGCCCTTGCAGGTTGTTTAGGGGGCAGGGTTGAGACACGGTCTGCTGTAGTCCAAACTGAGCACAAACTGTGGAACTGTGGCTGCACTTGAACTTCTTCTCTTGCTTCCTCCACTTCCCAACTACTAGATTCACCAGATTGTGCCACCACATCTGGCTCACCCTTGCCACTTTTGACCCATGCATCTTGAACTAGTTCAAGGTCCCAATCCCTTGGACTAAGAAGTGTAAGACTTCCTGATGCTGATACCCGAGGGTTAAGACACTTGGAACTGAGCCTGGAACACTTTTGAGGATAATTGGGATTGAGGATCCAGCACCTTGTGTGAGAAGCTTCTCTTCTCGTTGCCTACTCAGATTTCCATCGGGGTAAAAATGCCCCTCTCTGCTTATTTCCTGAGCCAACCTGTGCAGCTGCCCTACACTTCCTTTGGACACAGCTTAGCCCAACACCATATCTACCTGTTCTATGGGCAAGGTAAGGGTCTTCCATAATAACCCTGTTTCCTTGTGCAATCAGCAGAGTGTGCCAACCTCTGGGTTGCTCTTAAACCCACAGCATTAGGTGGAGGTCTGAGCCTGGTCTTGGGTACAGCTGGCCCTTTGGGAGGTTACATGCTGTACTCAATTTCCTCTGATGTAAGTTTACCCACACCATCATTTCCTCTTCATCTTCTGTCTTCTTAGTACCCTGTCTACACCTGAGGCCTACAAGATGCTGACCAATGCAGAAAAAGTCTCAGAAGTCAGGCCCTCACAGAGGAAGGAAATGTGAATATTGTAAAGGCCTCGAAGCAAGATGACAGTGTATAAAGCAGTTATTATGCCCAACTCATTCAATAAATAAATAGTTAATTATAATTAAAAAGGAGACATTTAATAGAATTGCCCAAAGACTAAGCAAGGAAAACACCGTTTATAAAATGGAATACATCCGTGCTGCTCCATCCTACTATCACTTTATTTTAAATTTTTATGTGTGTTGTGTTTTGTTTTGTCTGCATGTATGTCTGTGCATCACATGCATGTGTGGTGCTCATGGAAGTCTCAGAAGAGGGTGTCAGATTTCAGTGTGAGTGCCGAGGCCCTAACGGGTGCCCTTACAAGAGCCACAATTGTTCTTAATCATGGATATCCGTCTCTCCAGCCCCTGTTTTTTGTTTGTTGGTTTGCTTTTGTTTTTGTTTTTGAGACAGGATCTCAAGCAGCCCAGGCTAGTCTTGACCCTGCTATGTAACACGTCTCTCTTAAACTCCTGATCCTCCTGCCTGTGCCTCTCAAGCACTCAGATTGGGAGTGTGTTCTACCATGCCCAGAATACCACTCTCATTCTTAAAATATCAGTAGAGGGCCAGAGGTGGAGCCCAATGACTGCCTAGTGTGTGCAGAGTTTCATTCCTAGTGTTTAAAAAATGAAAACAACACAACAGCAGTAGCCAACCCACTGATTTCCATAATTATCCACAAACTGCCCAGCATGCTGTCAGTGCTTTTGAAACAAATGAATTTTTTAGTTTGATGTTGGTTTTGTAAATAATGACAGGCTAAATCATGGTTGAATCAAGAGGTTATTCTCTGGCCTCAAATAACCTGCCCATCATTCTGGGCCTCTGGGGGACAGGAGGCCAGTGTGTGCCAAGGCAGAGGTTGGTGACAGGCAAAGCTAGGCTTGCCCCTATCATCTTGGCAAGAGTCACCATTTCTGCAGAGTGCAAAGTTTTAGAAAAAAACAGGTGTGAGGCATAGTTCGGTAGTATAGCATTTATCTAGCCTGTGAGACCCTGAGTTCCAACTCCAGCACTGGAAAACAATAAAGCCAAAACCAAACGGACAAAAATAACCACCAATTTGGAAATAAAAATGGACTGCCATTTTGAAGCCCGCTTCACATGTGCATGTGGGAGAACTGAAGAACAGAAGGAAAGGGACATGTTTAGAGTTACAAAGTAAGGTTCTGTTGGGGCAGGAACATGGGTCTGTGGATCCCTAGTTCTCTCCCTATTTCCAGCACTTGTCATCTCCACACTCAATGCTGTCTCCAACTTGAGAGTCCCGAATGCGCAGGTATTGAGCTAAGGAGGTACAGTAATCAGCCTAGGCTAGAGAACTGCTGGAGAGGCGTCACTTCGCTTCATCTGCACAGGTGGAGATTGTGACCACAGGTCACCTTTTTGACAGTACTTCCCGAAGTCCAGTGGGTCAAGAGCCACAGCCATGACGGGCTGGGATAGAGACAGGAGGGATGGAGGCCAGCTTTCTGCTTGCAAAGTCCTGGATCTTCCCTGAAGCTCCAGCTTCTGGAGCCCAGAACACACGGTGTGCTGGCTATAAAGCAAACAGACCTCAGTAACAGGTGAGTCCCTCTGTACCGTGTGGTCGTTGCACCATGGTGCAGCTAGGTGCAGAGGCGACTGATCTGCTATACTGTCTTTTGTAAATCCCACTTATTTTGCAGGATTTTTAAATCCCACTAGCTACCCCCATATCTTTTTTTTTTTCTTTTTGAGATGGGGTCTCATGTATCCCAGTCTGGCCTTGAAAACTACCTTAAACTTCTGGTTTTTCTTCCTCCATCCCTAAAGTACTGGGGTTACAGGCATGGCCATGTGGTGAAAATTGAGCCCCACCAGAACCAACTGAGCTAACTCCCAGTCCCTCACGCCTCTTCTCAATCTGTCTCTACTCTCTTTGTGGCTGCATCCCATGTCTGTCTCCTTAGTGTGCTGAACATAACTTACTACATCACTTTAAAAACTTTAAGAAACTTTTTAAAAGTTTTTTTTTTTAACTAAATTTTGTCTGTTTTGCCTGAATATATGTCTGTGTACTACATGCGTGCAGAGCCCATGAAGGCCAGAAGAGGGCATAGGATACTCTGGAGCTGACGTTACAGACCTTTCAAACTCGGGTCCTTTGGAGGAGCAGCAAGTACTATTAACCACTGTACCGTTAAAGCTATCTCTCAAAAATCCTCAGAAACTTTTTAATGGTCTCTGAATAAAGTTAGAGATGCAGGCACATTGTTTAAAAGCCAAAGCCTCAGTTTCCCCAACTACAGCGTGGGTAAAAGGCTATGGTAGGCTTCACAAAGTCTGCTCCGTGCTGCTAGGACCTGAGAGAACTTCACAGTTACAACGCTCCACCTCCTACCCGGCCCGCCCCGTTTTGACAGCGCTTGCACGGAATCCTCCGCCTTCCAGTTGTCTCGGCCGGCTCTGAGCGATCGAGGACTCGGCGCTCTACCTCCCTGTGTCAGTCTGTTTTCCGGTTTCCGCCCGGCGCGTCTGCCGAGCGCCGAGCCGCCGATGGCGATGGCCGCCGCGGGTCTCTGAGGAATCTTGGAGGCCCGGAATCGGGGCTGGAGGTCGAGAGTAGTCTGCCAGCCGCCTGTCGGGAGCGGCAGGGCGTGGGAGGGTGTCTTCCTGCTCCGAGCCGCCACAGACAGCGCGGCGGTGGCTGAGGTGGGTGTGACGTGTAGCTTGAGGCGACGAGGCGGTGGGGAGATGGAAAGCTCTGCGGGCCTCAGCAGCGCGTCTCTGCTCGCGATGAGTTGCGTGGCACCCGCAGAGTCGCGGTCCTGCGGGTGCTCGTGGCCGTGCGGACCTCTGTGGTGCGCTGGCTGTGTTCTTCACGCCAGTCGGGATGCCAGGGTTTTGCACGACTGGTTTTCTGGTTGCGGCATCAGTTTCGGTGGTTTGTGGTGGTGCATGATTAAGTGACTTTAAGTGGAAGCGTTCTGCACTTCGTTCATTCGTGGAGCCCTGTTATGCCGCTCCCGTGTGTGTGTGTGTGTGTGTGTGTGTGTGTGTGTGTCAGACACTGCGCCAGACCACCGAGTTCTGGTGGTGATGGCGAAAATCACAGGCCATCCTCAATGGCTACGGTCGTGTATTATTTAGTCACTTCACTTGTGTGCAAACCACGGCACCCCAAGTCAGCTCTTGTGAAGGCAACTTGGCCGGAGCCTGCCTTGAATAAGGGGCGTTTTTCTAGGGTGAGATTTGAACTGCTCTGTGTGGCCAGGGTGAACAGGGACAGCTTCTGTTTGACGTTTGCTTAGGGATGAGTGCAGGGGAGGAAGAAGCGTCACTCTTAGAGGATCCTGTCAGCCACTGGCTGGAGAGAGAACAGGTCCGACCTGGCGCTGGCTGTTTCAGTGATGCCTCAGATGCCTTTTTGGGCGGGTCTGCATGTATGTAGTCACCAAATTTACTTACTTATTTTCGAGACAGGGTCTCACTATTAGCCATGTCTGGCCTGGAACTTGCCACGTAAACCAGGCTGGCCTCAAACTCAGAGGTATCTGCCTCTGCCTCCCGGAGTGCTAAGATTAAAGGCCTGCACCTCCACGCCTGTCATGATTTCTTAATTAAGGGAAACAATGGGCATCTGGTGTCCCATTTACTTGTTTTCTGAGTTGCTGCCACTCTTCAGCTTTGAGGACCGGATGGTACCCTCCTCAGTGCCTTCTGCAGCACACTACAGATCTAGCTACACAAACTCTCCCAACTCTGTGTTGTGATTTGTGGCCCCCAAGGTCCTGGAGACATTTCTTTGTTTCTGTAATTTTTGTCCCTGTTCTCTATGGTTAGGACTCTTTCAAGGTCACATTAACAGTGACTTTGCTATGGTCCAATAAGACAGAAGATATAAGTTATTAAGCCCTGAAATATTTAAGAATAAAAATTTTCTTTTGAAGCATAGAAAACATTAGACTTGTGGCCCCACTTTTTCTAACTTATACAATCTGGTATGCTCATCAATTTACTGCAAATGAAAAATGTAATTTTCATTAATTTTATCCAGCCATCCGTCTAAACTAAGAGACAATTTCTTGTTATGTTGGCCAGGCCAGTTTTGAATTCCTAGGTTCTGAGGATCCTTCTGCCTCAGCCTTTCAAGTTGCTGGAACTGCATGCACCTATCACCAAGCTGCATTGATTTTACTGATTTTTTTATCTTAATTTTTTTTAAAAGCATATTTCTTTTGTGTGAGGGGGCATCCATATGAGTGTGTGGAGGCTAGAGGACAACTTTCAGAAATATAGTCTCTTCTTTCACTTTTATTTAGCTTCTGGTGATCAAACTCAAGCTCGTTGGCAAGTGTGCAAAAGAAACTTTTGTTCCCTTGTTTCAGTTGTCTCGGAGGCTTACTGCCTCCTTTTGCTAACCTAGGCCTAGTCCTGGAAGCTTGTAGCCTCTGTACAATCTAACCTAGGTCTAGACTGTTTTCAGCCTCTGAGACTTACTGCTTTAATAAGCCCACCCTTTCTTGTTCTTACTGAGTTCTGGGCTGGCTGGTTCAACTCAGCAGTTCTGGCTCAAATTCCTCTGCCATCTGACTTATTCAGTCTGGCTTCTCTCTCAGCCCCTATATTGCTCTGCTTGGTCTCAAACTAACTTCACCAATCTGCTCTAATCTCCTGGCTCTTCCTCATTCTCTGGGTCATTTGGTCTTCATCTGAGTTCTCTCTTCAACCTGTCTTTCTATTACTGTCCCAGTAAAACTGTCCCTCTCTTTCTCTACATTGCCCCTTAAGTAGCTTCTCTTTCTTCTTGTGAGAGTTGGGAGTATCTTACTCTGTCAAATCTTTCTCTGATTCATCACTTTCTTTTAAAAAAAATGTATTTGTTTTCTATACATTTGTTTTGGTTTTGGTTGTTTTTTTGCATGCATATATACCTGTGTGAGGGAGTTTCATCCATTGGCATTTTGAGTTACAGATCACACAGTTGTGAGCTGCTGTGTGGGTGCTGGGAATTGAACCAGGGTCCTCTGGAAGAGCAATCATGTTCTCAACCACTGAGCTGTCTCTCCAACCCCCTCATCACTTTCTTTTTCTGCCGCTCAGTTAGACATCACTTTCAAACATGGGTGCATCCTTCTAAAACTAATTTTACCATTATTGTTTGGGATTAAAGGTATGTACCACCACATCTGGACCTAAGCTTTTCATTACCTGAAACTTGCTCTGTACCAGGCTGGCCTTGAATTCAGGCAAGTTAGTATTCCAGTCAGATCACACAGACCTAGAAGGTCTTTGCTTGTGATCTCCTGCTAGGGCAGCCATATTCTGGCTTAAAATTCCTCTACACAAGTCCCTTTACACTGAACTATCTCTCTGGCTCTTGACCTTTTTGTTTTGTTTTGTTTTTTAGATTTATTTATTTTACATATATATGAGTACTCTATCTACAGGTCATGTGCATACCAGAAGAGGGCATCAGATCCCAGTATAGATGCTTGTGAGCTACCATGTGGTTGCTGGGAATTGACCTCAGGACCTCTGGAAGAGCAGACAATGCTCCTAACAGCTGAGCCATCTCTCAAGCCTGCCCTTCCTTCCTTCCTTCCTTCCTTCCTTCCTTCCTTCCTTCCTTCCTTCCT